AGGGTTTAGGGTTTAGGGTGATCTGAGCGATTCAGGCGTCAGGGCTTGGGCGTATAAAAATGTCGATGCAGGGATGCAAACATCAGCGAAGCTGCAAGTAGTTACCAGCAGTATCCCCTTATAGTCCCCATGTGACCATGCGATAACACATCCCAAAACCCCGTTCTGATTATAACATTATAACATGTACTTATTCGGGCACTTTGCCGGGTTCCCAGTTCAATGCTTCACTCCTCCGATCGATAAGGGCTTGGGGCTTTGTTTGGGTTAAGGGTTAAGGGTTTCGGGTTTAGGGCTAAACCCTAAACCCTAAACCCTAAACCCTAAGGGTTTTAGGGCTTAGGCTCGGGTCAACAGCTTGCGGCTCGGCATGAGATTAGGAAGCGATGGCCCCAAGCCCTGAACTTCGAGCCCTAGGCCCCAAAGCCTCAAAACTCCTTAACTCGGAACTAGGGTTTAGGGTTTAGGGTTTAGGGTTTAGGGTTTAGGGTTTAGGGTTTAGGGAAGCCCTAAACCCTAGACCCTGAGCCCTAAACCCGGAGGGAGCCCTAGACCCTGAGCCCTACACCCGGAGCCCTAAACCTCCGTGCCTCTGGGGACTCGGCCCCAAAACTTACACTGCACGAAACAAGGCGAACTACCTGAATGCCGGCCTATGGGTTGAATTCGGGGTTGTTTTTTTAAGGGTTTAGGGTTTAGGGCGTAGAGATTCGGGTGCAGGGTTTAGGTATGTCTGGGATTTCCGGTTTAAGGCTTTGGGTTTAGGGGTGCTTCGGGTTTCTGCTTGGTTAGCTTCGGATTTAGGGTTTAGGGTTTAGGGTTTTAGGGTTTAGGGCCCAATGCTTGACGTTTAGGGCTTTGGGGTTTAGGGTTTAGGGCTTAGAGTTCTTTTCGGGGTTCGGGCACCCTCGACGGGCACTTTTTGTCAACCACCGCAGTGACAGTCTGTCTCAGAGTTCTTCGTGTCAGTCTCGGTCAAGCAGCACCCACATCCGGTCCTCCGCGCGGCTCAGGGCTTCGTATCCAGGCCCCTAAACCCTCGACCCCAAACCCCAAAACCTACACCCTCTTCTAAGCACAAGGACTCCATTTGATGTAACCCTTAACCCTAAACCCTAAGCCCTAACCCTAAACCTAACCCTAAACCCTAAACCCTAAACCTAACCCTAAACCCTAAACCCTAAACCCCAAACCGGAATCTTCGTAAATCATTGTTGGGATCCTAGTTTCAACTAGGGACCCTGCAGCAAGGGATGTTGGAGTCTCCGGATCTAGGGGTTTCAGGATTCAAGGCTTCAGGGCTTGGTGGTTTAGGGTTTAGGGTTTAGGGTCTAGGGTTTAGGGTTTAGGGTTTAGGGTTTAGGGTTTAGGGGTTAGGGTTTAGGGTTTAGGGTTTAGGGTTCAGGGCTTGGTGGTTCAGGGCTTGAAGAAAACATCCTCGCTACCCCCGGTCCTTCAGAACACTTCTTGCACGCTCAGCGGTACTTGATGAAGCCAATCTCCTGGGCCTTCTCACGGAACTCCTGGCGCTTCATCATGATGCCGTACCTCAAAGGGGGGTGCAGGGCTTTAGAAGGGTTTCCTGAGAGTTTCTGCAAGAGTTCCTACTTGGGTGATAACACCCACCCTAGAGGCTCTTTAGGCCCCACAAAGCCATGCCTTCCCACCTGCGCCCTCCCAGTTCAGGCCGGAGTGCGTGAGTCTAGTGGCTTCAGCGCTTTGAGTTCAGGGTCTGTGGTTCAGGGTTTCGGATTTAAGTTTAGAACTTCGGATGACAGTACTGGACGTAGAAAACCGTCCAGCGAACCCCTCATAAAACCCCATCAGAACCCCCCCCCCAGCACAACATCTTGGGCTCATGCAGATTAAAACGAGAAGCAAAAGGCGATGAGATCCCTAACCACAAAGGCAAGAAAGCGCCCGAAAACAAGATGCCCCTCAAATACATGATATTCTCAATAGCGAGAGCCTTCGTGTCTTCGTTTAAGGAATACTTGCTTGTTTCGGGGTAGCGATCGCTCCGCACATGCTTGGCGGAAGCTGGCAAGGCCACTTCAGACGAGCAATGGGGCCGCGATTTAAAACCGGGAAGTCCTAACCTTGAACCCAAAGATTTGACAGGGCGACCCAGACATTGAGAGGGTGTTTTGGAGGGTTTAAAGTTTACGGGATGTTTTTGGTGTATGTGCATTTGCTTTCCCGCCGGCGCTTCGCGTAAGGATTTAGGACACCCGTCTAAGATTGCACAGTTGAAAACGTGTGGTCGATATTGGTCGAGAGAAATGCGCCACCCACAAAAAAAAAAAACCTGAGTGGGGGGTTGGGGTGCCCTTTCCGCACCCCCCGTAAACCCAAAGCCCGAAATACAACCAAAACCGCAAAACACCAAACCCATCCCAAACCCCCAAACCCCGAAACCCTTGAAACCCTAAACCCCAAAAGGCCCGAAACCCCCCAAAAGGATCCTAAACCCTGAACCCTAAACCCCAAAAAAGATGTCCGAGGTGCTTTCGGATCAGAGCCATGCCGCCTGGGCGGCCCGAGACGCGAGAGCTGCGGAGGCCCTGTGAAGTCACTTCGGGCGTAGAGCTTGGAGGTTCGAGGTTTAGGGCTTAGGGCTTAGAGTTTAGGGTTTAGGGTTTAGGGCTCGAGGTTTAGGGCTTAGAGTTTAGGGTTTAGGGTTTAGGGTACGAGGTTTAGGGTTAAGGGCTTAGGGCTTAGGGTTTCGAGTTTAGGGTTTAGGGTTGAGTCTGAAAGCCTAGGCAACCCAAATTCCCCCTAGAGCTGATACTGCATCAGTACTATAGAAGAAAAAGCTCCGTGATGACTGTGTTGTGTCCATACCAGCTTAGTAGCAAGCCTCCATGGTTTGTTATGAGACGTATTTTGTGCGTATGTTGATTGGGTTGAGGTTTTAGGCTTAAGGACCTGTGATCAAAATGCACAGTCTCTCTCAGGCTCGCATGGAATTCGTCTTCCGGCTTGAATGGCTCCCGAGTTAGCATTTGGCCGACGAGGTGGCGTCGGTACCTTAGACCTACACTACGAGAGCCTTGTGACGGCCAGAATCTTGGACATCCCATGTTCTAAAAAAAGCCCGAGCAGCACACTATGTATGACACGCCAAATTTGGCCGCCCTTCCAAAACCCCCACGCTGAACCTCAAATCCCTGAGGCAGCTAGCCCAAGAGATCCCCCTTTCTAAGCCTTAAAAAAATCCAAAGAACCTTCTACAAAGCCTGTTGAGAGCCCTTAAACCGGCCCGCCAAAAACACTTGTTCAAACCCCAAACCCCAAAACCTCCAAACCC